ATCTCCAAACTACCCATCTCACCAATCCCCGAGTACAATCTGAACTGCATGTGAAGAGTGTGAAGTTTAATGATTGTACCTATCAGCCAAAAGCTGTTGAACTAGAGTGAAAACAAGTTACCCTCAATCCTGAGAAACTACCGGAGAAGGTACATCAAAAATATTTAATTGATTGCTTAGAATCTTGAGATGCACAGTGATTATAAAGCCTTGCAATTATAAAGTGTTTTTACCTTTTCATTATCCCTATTGATGCTTCATTTAAATTTAACTGGACTTTTCTGCTCGAAGCCACACCTGGCTGAGATAAATTTGCTGAATACAACAAGGAAGGTGAGACTTAATGTCATTACCTCGGCAACATTTTCCGTTGTGGCATCAAGTAGTCAAAGTAAAATTGAGAATTGAAATAGGGAGATAACTTTCCAAACACTGGAGTTACATCTAGTATGAAGGAGGATGGTTAGAAGTCAATCACTTCAGCCTCAGGACATGTGTTTCATGTGGCAATAGCCTCAAGGAACCATTTTCAATGCTCCATCAATCATCTTTTTGCAGTCATGAAGCTGTTGGTGGGGTGTTCACAGACTATTGCATAATATTCAATTTTATTTTTACCTTCTCATATAATGAAGTATTCTTTGTTCCCATGCAGCAAGACCTGGACAACATTCAAGCTTCAATTGATAAGTGGCAAGCAACACTTACACCACATAAGTTCCAAACTATGACCATCGTTGTCAAGAGAGAATTTAAGCACCTCCCTTTTATAGTCAACAACATTCTCATTGCTGAGACCACCAACAGTATCCTGGAGTTCAATGTTGACCTGAAATTGAAATATAAATGTCATGGCAAAAAGCTAGTTCAGAGGTTAATGATTCTGCAGTGTGTAACTGAGCTCCTGACTCTCCAAAGTCTATCCAGGATATACAATTTACAAGGCAGGAGTGTGTGTAATACTCCCCACTTGCCTTGAGGAGTGTAGCTTAAACAACACTCTAAAGACTCAACACTATTTAGCCCAAACAAAATAGCCCATTTGATCAATACTTCATTTAACTACCAGGTACAATTATAATATTTAGAAGTCATTTGGACAAATATCTGTATAGAAAAGGTTTAGAGGGATATGGACCAACAACAGTCAAATGGGACTAGTTTAGTTTAGGAAACCTGTTGGCATGGATGAGTCGGGCTGAAGGGCCTGTTTCCATGCTGTACTCCTCTCCGGTTCTATGACTCTAAGAAAGTGGCAGCTCATCATCACCTTCTCAACAGTAATTAGGTATGGGCTGTAAATGCTTGCATTGCCAATGATGCCCAGATCCCATAAATGAACAATAACTCTATCCACTAGAGCTTTGCATATTCATCTAATCTACCTGTTGCAATTTCTCAACATTATCCAATAATTCCACTCTCTGTTCCCTACATCTCAGCAAACACCGCACTGATGACAGACAAGTCTTATCCATCAAGCTGAATTTTTGTTACAAGATAGAGAGAAAAAAAAACTTTACATGCTGGATTCTGCTGCTGCAATGTTTTACAGCAACCAACAAGAGGAAAGAATAGAGAGTAAATACATCATGTTTCTCTGGAATAAGTAAATCTCATTAGGTAAGATCTCTTTCAAGTTACCATTATGCTTCGCACTTTCATCTTGGGGATATATTTACTGAGAAGCTATCTTTTATTGAGAAGGGCAGACCAATGGAGATCATTAAATGAGTGACCTTAACTTGAGAACAAATCTTTCTATTAGCTCTTTGTACATGCTGGAATTGAAGGCGACAGATACAGATTAAAATTTGAGGAGATGGTTGGTATTGGTGAAAACAAGCTGGGGATGACTTTTGCCTATTAGATAATTCTTGCCTAATTAATTTTGTCTGATAATAGTTTCTGGTCTGAGTCAGGAAAGGCAACAATTTGGTTGTTGTAGATGTATATGCAACCAGAAAGGAGGAAAGAAATTTTCTATTTCTGGCATCTTGTCATATTTCTCAGAAAAGTCTCAATGTGAGGTATAGTCAATAAAAACCAAAAGAACTGCAGATGCTGTAAATCAGGAACAAAAACAAAGTTGCTGGAAAAGCTCA